CTCTCTCTCTCTCTCTCTCTCTCTCTCTCTCTCTCTCTCTCGAATAAAGATAAAAAAAGCTACATGCTTTATTTGTCATATAGATAGATATTAATCATATACAAAAATGAGAATAAATCATTTATAGGATAAATTCCGAATAATAATTGTAAGGCCAATGAAAAAGTCGATTTTATGTTGCTTCAATTTCGTTAATAATTCATTCTTGATTTATTTTTTAAAAAATGAAAATCTCGAAAGATAAAGGATTTCAATAGAAAATACATATATAGATTTGATCCGTGAAAATCCGAAAGAAGAGGAAGAGTGATTTACAAGAGGGAATCCCTCGGTATTCCGCCTGGGAAAGTACTAAACAATCGCACCGAGACGGATTAATATGATAGATAAAAAGGAGGTACAGTCTGGAAAGGGATAGAGAGATTCGCAAAAGAGAGAGGGAGTACATGAGAAAAAGAAGAGAAAGAGAAATAAGTGCACCCCTCTCAACCGTGCATAATAACTATAATGTGTAAGCAGGCAGGCGCCATTGTTTCGCCGGTAACTTTCAAGTCTAACATGAACAAGGCACAACCGTCGAGCAATTAAGTGATCATTTACTCTCTTGAACAGAAGGGTCGCGAGATTTCTGACATAAACGAGGAAGCAAAATGCGACTTTCTGATGTTTCAAAAAAGCACTAAATTTTATAAAAATAATATAAATCTTTAAAAAAGTACCTTATAAATTCATTTAAATCTATTTTTCTAATAAAAATTAAAATATAAGCTATATAAGAATGAATTAATCTATGAAATTTAGATAAATTGCATTTATAATTTAATTTAGATAATAAAATTATTTTTTTAAACCTATTATTATATTTATTTAAAACTTAATATTCTTTTAGTAATAAGTTTAATAATTTTTATTATATACCATTACTTTAATTTTGAGAATAAATATTTTAACAATACAAATCTGTATAATTATAAACTACTAATTAATAATATAACTTATTAAATTATTAATATGTATATAAATTATTAATAATATATTTAATACTTAATTATTAATAACATATTTAATTATTAACTTATTAAATTATTAATTATTATAAAATGCCACGATTTTCTAATTTTCCATTATTTTAATTTTAATTTCTGTTAGCTATTTTGGTAAATAAATTAAACTAGCTTTTTTGAATTGGTTGAAATAAAATTATACGCAATCAATTTGCAAATAGCATTTTATTTAAAATTTAAAATTTAATTTTCTAATATTTCTTAATTCACAATTTTAAATATTTTTAAATTATTTTGTTGTTTAAATCTTTCTCTCATTTATAGTACATCATTTATAGTACATCAATTTTTTTTAACAAATATTATTATTAATATAATAATATAACAAAAATATTATTATTATTAAAATTTTAATATAATAGAATAATAGATAGTCTCAATTTTAAGTTATTAAATTAAATAATGAGCAAATATTGCACAGAAAATATTTTATTACTAAAAAAGCACGACATTTTCAAATCTATATCTCTTCAAGAATACGTTCTTTCCTCTCATTAATCTCTAGTATAGTATCTCGACCTCTACGCAGATCTTTACGAAACCGGTCACCACCCACGATCTCTCCCGACTTCACGATGAAAATAAAAAAAACTAACGAAACAGGCTACTCACTGCGTCCTTGGCACTAGAAAACTCAGCTAAACATCAGATTAAAATTCAGCAACCAAAAACGAATCACTTTTTGGAAAACACGATGTCCCACATAACACAAGTTTTAATCGTCCACACTATTCGGATCACGTTCGAGGTATCGTAAGGCACTAAGGTGTCCGTAATGTGGCACTTCAACGGCCGTCTCTACACTGACGAAGTAGGGTGAGAGCTGGGGCCTTATGTAGAAGGGGTCCGTAGGTGAACCCACAGAACAAGAGAGACCAGCTTGCCCTCTCGCTTCCTCCTATCGATTGAAGTTCTTCTCTGTCCTTCTCATATTCGATTCCCCTTCCATATGACTTGACCACGTCGGCCACTCCAATCGTCCCAGGTGAACACCGGAGATCCAATGATCTTTGAAGGTGTTGGTGGGTGTCTCGAGCGTTTGATTATATACTCGTGTCCTCCAACTTATCGCGATTAAATGCGTGAGATGAGTAAGACTAATAGCCTTGAATTATTAAATATTAAATTATTATTAAAAAAGAATTATTTAATAAAATTTTTTATTTAGTATTTTATTTAGTATTTATTTTATTATTAATATTATTATGAAGCATAATCTTTTGTGACCGTTAGCGATAATTACATTTTTTAGAAAGAATTTTGCGTTAATTTTATTAATTAGCAAACAAAATTATTGGGTATCATTCAGCGTTCAATTTTTATCGATTTAAAATGACCGATCGACACAATGTAATCTTATTAAAATCACGAGTCACTCGCGCCAAAAGATGAAGATTTCGATTCGGTTGACCACAAGTAAACGAAAGTCCCAAAGTTGTACGACCACCAATATCACGGCCGTTGCTCCGAAAAGATATGTGAATCATATGGTAAGATGGATCCTGGGGTGACACAAGAAGTCCTTTGTGAACTCCCGCGCTTGGCACGTGCCAAGGACACCCGTCGCTTCCTTTCTTCATCTTCTGTTCGAAAAGTCCAATTACTTGGACAGATTCGTCCTGTCCTCGATGGCGGTCTGGACGCTCTTTTAGTATTATAGGACTCTTCATAGATCCATCACGATCCATTGAAGCCTGGCGTGACAGCTGTATGGATAATAGTAATCCCAGCGGAGAATCGATAACATATTGGCAAAATTCTTCCATTCACTTTTTTGTAATATAATCGAAAATCTATATACCAAAAGGCAATTGATATAAATAAAAAAATAACTTGTCAAATCCCAATTATCTATCAGATAAAATATCATATGTTTTTAAGGTTTTATTGTTAATTTTTTGCACCATAAAAACTTTAGAGCTTATTGTATTGGAATTATCTTTTAAAAATATAAAATATACATATAGTTTTTAATTATTTTAAGTAAATCTGTAATTATTCAAGCTTGAAATTTCTATCTCTAACACATATAGATTTTGAGAATATCGCAACAGTAGATTACGTATTCCTTTCTTATTATAAAAAAATTGAACTTACGCTTTTTTGTATAATAGAATATATCTTGAATAACAAAGAAATATATATCGACTTTTGATATCCTCTTAGAATCTATATGTTCTTAAGAAGAATGGTGTCAACAATATAGTCACATCTTTGTCACTTGCTACTGCAATTGAATTGATCGAGATATTTCTCTTTTTATAAAAAAAGACCTCCCCATATATCAATACTGAGGTTTGATCTCATGTATTAGCAAGCTGCATGCATCGAAGTTGCATCAGAGTTTTCCCGGACACCCGGTCTATTTGTCCAAGCAGGATGAGCAAATATTATTTTTTGGTCGACCGGTTGATCGATTCGACATCGAAACGTTCGAAACTTAGCAAAAGTTTCGCGACGGCGACGTGAAAAATGGTACGGAACGGTCGGAAAATCACATTGGAGATTGGTACATGCGGGACAGCTGCAACCTAAAACGACTGTAAACACGTAGTTAGTATGTACGTGGTGCCCCATTTTCACTTTATTAAATTTCCCAAATATAACCAAATCGTAAATTAATATAAATTTAATTTAAATTAGTTTAATTATTTTAATTATCCAATATATTACGAGAGATTTGTAACTCAGATGTCAAAAATTAATGTCAAAAAATATATTCATCTTTGTCACTTTCTTTCACAAAGTCCAAATAATTTTAATTTAAATTGTATATTGTACAGAAAATGTATATCTGCAATTATCATTATTTTTAAAGCTTCTTAATTTTTTAAAGATAACTAATATTTAATA